TCTCCTGCCCGTTGCTCTCTTCAGATTAACGGACAGGCAGTGGAGCAGGTGGAGAAGTTCAAGTACCTCGAAAGTATACTTACTAGTGATGGAAAGTTGGAGGAAGAGATCGACCGGCGAATTGGTGTAGCCAGCGGCGTTCTGCCTGTACTAACCCGACCCGTTGTGACAAAAGTAGAGCACAGCCTGAAAGCTAAGCTCTCAATATTCAAGTCGATCTTTATCCCCACACTTACCGATGGTTATGAATCGTCCACCATGACTGAGAAACTTCGAAGCGGGGTAGAAGCTGCTGAAATGGGCTTTTTTAGACGAGTCGCTGGCCTTACGCGTCTCGACATGCTCCGGAATAGTGACATCCGAAAGAGCCTTAGATTACCGCCTTTGCTTCTGCAGATTGAGAAGTCACAGCTGCGATGGCTTAGTCATGTGTTAGGAATGCCTCCGGAAAGGAAGGCTAAGCAACTGTTCCTAGCAAATTGGACCGGCAAAAGGCCCAGGAGACGGCCAAGGTTAACCTGGTGGAAACATATGGAAGGAATCTGTTCCTGACTGCATTTGTCTTTTGCCGAAGCTCAGTTTCTGGCACAGGATCGGTAACGTTGGAGGCACTGTCTGACGCGTCCGTCTCCGTGACCCGAAAGGAGAAGCGGCTATGGAACATGAAGAGGAAGATGTAGATATACGTTATGCAGAAGCTTGTTCGATGATAGGATTTCGAACGTCGCAGAAACTGTGTGTGTGAGTTTGTGATTCAAAAGCGTTAGTAATCATCGTGACTGTATGACTGAAGATCCAACCCAGATATCCTAATGTATTCTCTTCTCTTATCTGTTTCTGATTTGGTGAAATTTGCATTGATTTTCTCGTCTAACCCTCATTTGTGTAAAATGAGTAAAATAACATTAGTGTACGAAACTATCTATTGTACCTGTTGGTCAAAATACCGTAATTCAAAAATTGCGAAGTAATGCAAATTAGGTAGATATCAGTTGTTGAAATTGGAATTGTTAATGTAGTAATTTACCCGATTTATATAAAATAGCGTTGTTATGTTATGATATAATCTCGTAATATTCTACATTATTTTCTTCGTGCCTTTTTCAATGCATGTTTATAATCAAATTTTCTATCCCATTTTATCCTAAATTGACTTAATTCATATTGTGATGAGATTTGTTAGCAAAATATGAGTTATAGAATGTATTGATTTGTGACAAAGTTTTTTTTAAACAATTTTCAAAGGGTTTATTCGTCGTGAGCACTGATGGGAGATCCTGCACTGTCACGAAATATATCGCACATGTACATTTGTACGTTTATCTGTTGTGTTTATTTTTGGTTCTAGAAATTGTGTCCGGGATTTGTGCTGTTAAAGAAATTGGTAACGGTTCACAGTTTTGGGTCCACGATGATAAGAATGGCATCTTGAATCCATTCTGGTCATCCTACAGCAGAATTTCCAACTTTCTGTCTATAAGTCTGTCACGTTTAAGATACTGAGAATTTCTGTAATCATTTTTTGTCAGCAGTCATCTTAACTGATTTCGGTAGCCTTAAGCTAATCTTTACAATGCAGTCGTGGTTTTGTGCCAATTCCAAATTTTGCCCGCAACCAGATATAATTTATTAATGAAAAATAAATGAACTTATGTGTAACACTATATGTATAACACTCATAAAAATCAAGTAGGGTAAAAAGAATGATGGAGAGGAGATGAAATAGTTGATACGAAATTAATGCAGATTAATCTGCAAATGTATAGTTTAACATGCATATCAGTAGAATAAGCTATATACGGAATCACCAGATTTTCTGTGTGCTTCAGTCCTCACGTCGATATATTCGTACCATGTGGAATAAGCATATGCAATGAATATAAGCGAATCGTTGCTAGTGCTGTTTTTCTACTAATTGAGGCACTGAACTCATTTTATTGTATTGATTCTTTGGTTGAGCAATTTAAAGGTTTTCAACATAGTAGCTACTCTTTAAAATTAGTTTCCAAATGTATGGAGGCACTGATTTTGGATTGAAGTTTATAAATAGTTTATTAGAAAAAATTTTTAACTTTTCGAATAGTATAAATTTGATTCATGGAGTGCGTAATCACTGTTGAATCCAGAGCAAGACCCGTAACAATGTTGCATCTCAGGATCCAATGTCTGGCGGGCCACCTGTGGATCTAGTTAGATCTGGTATAGTTTTCCTCGGATTTTTTTCGACGACGAGTTTGTTTATTTTTTTGGTGCTAAAATCGTAAATTTTTTGAAACATTTTTTATGTACGGATGGTTTTAGAAGCGATGGAACGAACGGACGGACCAAAAACAAGCTGGTGCACGTGATGATGTCTGATTTGCTCTGTTCCTTAAGTAGTAGAAATAATATTGGAATGTCGAAAATGGTATTAGACAGAATGGTATGACAAAAATGGTGCTCGTCTTTATGCTGGCTGTTGGTTATTTGCAGCTGTAATGTACAATTTTTACAGTAATGGTGTTTTAAATGTTTCATTTTGTATAATGCTTTCGAGCGCCCTATCTTTTATTGCAGGAAACTGAATCTAGACTCAGGAATGTTGAAGAGTACGTAGCGATTATGGAAAGCGTTAATAAGGACATAAACGAATTATAGCGTATCAAAGCAGCACTGAGAGTCTGAAGCACTGCAGGTTTGTCATGGCGTTGAACGTTCTCGTTTATGGCTAGAAATTTGACTCAAGGATGCTTTTAGGAAATCGACAGCGAATTCGTGCCTGTTGGAAAACAAAATTGTCAAGCTGGCCATGAGCAACAAACTTTTTTGCCAGT